CGGTGCAGGCAGCGGGGCTGGCAAGCAGAACGGCGCCACCAGTAAGTGGGCGCAGGGAGGGAGGCCAGGCCTTGGCAGGGCTGGGGCAGCCAGCAGACTGCCATCACCCTTCCCGCCATAGGTTACAGCTCCGTTGTGGCGGACAGCCCTGCAGAGGTGACCCTGAGCAGCAGTGGGGGCAGTAGTGCCAGCAGCCAGACCCTGGGCCCCGCCTCAGGCCCACACAACCCACCTCCCAGCACCGCGTGAGTGTCTGGGGCGGGCAGATGCAGGCCCTTCCTGCTGGGGGCGGGGGCTTGCACCCGGACTGGGGTCCTGGTCCCATTTCCTTCCACCTAGGGCAGGTGTACATTCGTCTCTGGCCTTGCCTTTACGTGTGGGTTTCACTATGAACTCATGATCCTTCTGCCTCAGCCTACCGAGTGCTGGGATCACAGGCCTGGACCACCATGCCTGGCCTGCTTTGTCCTTCACAGAGCATTCTAAATGGAGGAGGGACCCTCTTAGAGCTTTTGGGGATAACAGGCTCACGCGGCATGCCCACTGTAGGTTCCCACCACTGTCCTGAAGTGTCCTCTGGTCAGGACTCTTCTTAAGAGCTCCTGGAGTGCCCCTTGCTCTGCTTCCCAAAGGGAGCTTCTCCAGCTGCCCAGACTCAGGGCTAGAGTGCCCGTTGAAAGACCCGCCTCCTGGCGGCCCTCACCCCCGGCCCAAGGCCGCCTCTGTGATTAGAACATTCGCTCCCATAACTCCGTGACCATGCTGCTGCTTTTTATTTTGTTTGAGACAGGGTCCCGCTCTGTAGTTCACTGATCTTAAAATCACCGTGTAGCCCAGACTGGCCTCAGTCTCACGATGATCTTCCTGCCTCGGCCTCCCACCCACCATGCCCAGCTCCCCTTCATTAGTCCATCTGTGGTGGCTGTGGGAGACCTAGAAGCTCTATCCCCACCTCCACGCCCCTCGGAGCCTCTCTGTGCCCCTGTGCTGGTTCCCTCGCGACCTTCCTGAGCACTTCCTTTCCCTCTTCCCCAGGAAGGAGTCCAGTGCAGCCACCCCGACGGGGGCTGGGGGTGTGGCCCCCGGCTCAGGGAACAACTCTGGGGGCCCTAGTCTCCTGGTGCCACTTCCCGTGAACCCCCCCAGCTCTCCGACACCCAGCTTCAGCGAGGCCAAAGCAGCAGGAGCCCTGCTTAATGGGCCCCCGCAGTTCAGCAGCGCCCCGGAGATCAAGGTGAGCATCATGCGTGCCCAGCCTGCGCCACCCAACTCCACGGCGCCTGTCACAGCCTCCTGTGTGCAGCGCTGTCCCGGGCTGCTTTCCTCTGGACTGTGCAGCTCGCTGGCTCTTCCTGGGCCCTATCCTCCTGCCCACACCTGCACTGGCCCCTGAGCAGGGCCGCTTTGTGCCTGGCTTCTGTCCGCACAGCCAGGACCACGGCAGTACCAGCCTCGCAGGGTCTGCAGGCGTTGTCCTGTGGCCTCAGCCAGGCCATGGAGGGGCTGTGCGTGCTCCTGGGAAGTGGAAGGGCCGCGCTTACTCTGCGGCAGCCTGCGGCGGGCGAGTGTGCACACCTTAGCATCCTGGCTCCGAGGGTGAGGGCTCGGCCGGTGCAGATCAGTGCCAGGTGTGAAGAGCCGGGTGGCAGACCCCGGGGCTCCAGAGGGGCCTTCTGGGTGGACGGGAGCCCATGCCCCCAGGCTCTGCCTGCCTCAGCCGCTGCCCCCTCCCCAGGCCCCTGAGCCTCTGAGCTCGCTGAAGTCCATGGCGGAGCGGGCGGCCATCAGCTCAGGCATTGAGGACCCTGTGCCCACTTTACACCTGACCGAGCGAGGTGAGGGCCGGTGCATGGCGGGAAAGATGGGGAGGGGTGCGGCCACCGCCTCACCTGGGCCTCCGCTCTGCTCCCAGACATCATCCTGAGCAGCACCTCGGCCCCGCCTGCCTCAGCCCAGCCAGCCCTGCAGCTGTCGGAGGTGAACATCCCGCTGTCGCTGGGTGTGTGCCCGCTGGGCCCAGTACCCCTCACCAAGGAGCAGCTCTACCAGCAGGCCATGGAGGAGGCCGCCTGGCACCACATGCCCCACCCCTCGGACTCCGAGCGCATCCGGTGAGGGCCACGGGGCAGCTTTCGGTCCTCACACTGCAGCCCCGCTGCTTGCAAGGCCGAGGCAGGAGGTTCGCAAGTTTGAGACCAGCTGAGTTACTTGCGGAGGCCCCGTCTCGAACAGAGGGTCAGGGTGTAGTTCCACACTCCTGAGTTTGCTGCCTAGGACGGAGGCAGAGGCCGGAGCGCCGAGGGCCTGGCTCGGG